TCGACTCGGGTCTCTGTATCCTCTCGGGCGAGTTGTTGCCATACTTGAGGTTGGTAAGTGGAGGGCGTGCGATCCTTGACGGGCTTCCTGGGGGCTTGGTGAGTGTGCCGTGGTTACTGCGGAAGCCCATGGAGGATTCCGGCCGAGGGCTGCCAGGCGGCTTGATGTGAGCGGACAAGGGCCTTGCCGCGGATGCGCCGTTCATGTTGTTGGCACTGCGCTTGTTTGTCGGGGCGGGACCGACGGGTGTCTTGGCTCCCTGGCGGGTTGGTGGTCTCTGGGCTGCGCTGACGCTATTCGCGCGGCTATGGCCGGTTCTGGGCTTGGTTGCCGAAGCCATCTGTCCGGCGCCGGGTGTCTTGGATCGCGGTCCAGGGGCAGGACGATCCTCCGCCTCGAGAGCGTCGAGGTATCTCTCACCGTGAACAAGGAACGGACGGCCGTACTCGTCCTCGAAGCGCTCCAAGACTTGACGAAGATCGGCAGCAACCTTGGGCAACTCCTTGGCAATACGCTTGCGCATCTTTTCCTCTCGGAGCAGCTTGCCGGGGTCGCGTCTTTCTCCCTTTTGTCCGCGCATCATGAGGCGAGAAGCATCCTGGCTGGAGGCTGCAAGCTCGTCACGTTCGCTGGTAAGGCTCTTGTGCTTGTCGATAAGTGCGAGTGTGGGGGCGCGCTGCTCCTTGAGAACCTCCAGTCTCGCAATCTCGCGCTCATGGGCCTCGAGCAGGGCGTCGCTGTATACGTCGGAAAAGGCAGGCGTGAATTCGAGCATCTCGTCCTCGGAAAGGTAGAGAGCGTCCCACAACTCCTGCAGCTTGCAGCGGGCGTCTTCGACAAACAAGTGCAGGTTCTGACGCTTCAGCTCGTTCAGGCGCGCCAGCTCGTCCTCGAATTCATTGATCTGGCGGACGCCGCACCCGCGGTTGCTGTTCAGGAAGCTCTTCCTCTCGGCGTGGTCCACCTCCAGCTTCTCCCACAGGGCCTCGACCGCTGCGCGCAGGTCCTTGAGCTTCTTCTCGCGATTCTTCTTCTCGTCGGACAGCTTGTCGCGCTTCGCCTTGAGGCGGGCGATGTCCTCCTCGTGCAAGCCCAGCTGCTCCGGCGCATCGCGGTAGTACTTGACGATGGCGGCGTCTGTCTGGGCCTGCGGGGTGCCGAGCTCGGCCCAGAGCGAGATGATGTGCTCGCAGAGGGCCTTAATCGTTGCGACGCGTCGGCTGTACTCTTCATAGACTCTCGTAAACTCGTTGTCGAGCTTGTCGACGTAGGCGGGCGACAGGTCGAAGTTGGAAGGGACCGACTGGTTCGGGCCCGTCGGGGGCAGGGGGATCTGGACGAAGGTGGGTTCGAGGTGCGACGAGTATGATTCCAGGGCTTCGACAAGTTCTGGCGGCGTGGTCAGCGGGACTCCTTTTCGTGGCGCGTCGCGGCTGCTGCTGCCGGGCCAACTCACTCTTGACCTGCGCGAAGCGCTCCTTGTGCAACCTGCTAATCTGGACGTGCTTCTCCTTGAGGGACTTTAAGCAGCGGACCAGGGGGTATGTGATCTTGATGTCGTCGCCGTCGCGGTCGCGGCGACCGCTGATTGATGCCTCCATCTGGCGGATGTTGTTGATCATGCGCTCTGCCTCCTCAATCATCTCCTCCTTCTCGGTAGTAACAAGGCGGACCTGGTCGGTCAAGGCCTTGGAAAGGGCCTCGAAGAGCTGTGGCGATGGTTAGCACACGGACAGAAACCCAAACGATGAAGGTAAGAGCGTACGTCTGCTTCGCGCGCCTCGCGATCATGGTTTGGGACGCCAATTTCGTCAAACAGGCCGTGCAGCTGGCCGATAATGGTGTTGACCTGCTGGGACAGGTAACTGGTATCCATGGCGGATAAGTGGACGAATACGCGCAACCAAGGAAAAGGGACAAAAAATGCCGGTTAAAGTCGCGGGCAGTAAAATATCGATTAGGTAGGTTCGTGGGGTAAAAAGAGCGGGTGCAGCGCAAACGGCTGGTGGTGGTGGTTGTTGTTGATGATGCTATTCACGCCGGGGCGGGGAATCGTCGGGGATTTTTCTGGTGGGTGTTGGAGTTGGATTTGTTTACTTTCTCTCAAGGGCTAGCGAATGGTCACCGAGTGAGTTGCGACTCGAGGTGCATTGTCCGACCACAAGAAAAATAAAAGTAAAACAAAGAATCCAAAAGAGCGGCGCTGGAGGGATGGCAATCTGCAGTCTCCGTGGTATCTTGATAATGAGGCCTGGAGAGAGTCGAGATGTCGTTTGTCAGAGACTGCGATTAGTTACCTGTCGTGATGCGGCGTTGGGAGGGGGAGAGAGTGAGGGTGAGGGTGAGGAGGTGCAATGAAAGATCGAGAGAGTAGTGAATGAACGGGAAGGTGGTCGGGAAACGTGATGGGCCAGATTTAGCGGGTTCGCCAGTGGCAGCTCTCGCGGTGGGCCGTCGCCAGGGGCAACAGCCAAACGCTGGGCAGCTTCAGTGAGGAGTGGGCGCTGCTGGTGGTGGGTTTCAGAAAGAGCTACCCCGCCATTGGCCGCCAATTGGTCCGTACGCCCTTAAAACCCCGGTGCTATTGCTGTCCAGTCTTTGTGGACTCAGGTTCCTTGTTGGTGAGCTGTTCTAGCGCCCTGTCGCTTGTCTGTCAGCGCGGGCCAGGGATCTTAGGTAAGACTCCTCCTGCTCCCTCCCTCGCACCTCGTCAATTCTGCCAGGACGCAGTGAACCCAGCCACTCGTCACTCTGCTTCACGCGAAATGAGACTCATGGTCTCCCACATGGCCGCATCTTGGTTCAGCGATGGGGAACACGTTACAGTTGGTATTCTATCACTTCTTCATGCAGTTGATGCGGCTCTTGGATGATTTTCTGCTCTGTTCGATCGTGTGCAGACGATCGCAAACCCTATGCAAACACTCAGACAAACAACCAACTCAGTCACCCGCAGTAGTCCAGAATAAAGCCCGAGGCAGAGCGGACCCGCGCATCCGTTTGTTTACATTGGCCCAACCTCGTTGACTGGGCCATCGGCGTCTCCTCCTCCCCTCGTCTCCCTCTGCGAGATGGTCCAATGGCTGCGCCGACTCGTCAAAAGCCCGTCTGCAAGTCATTCAGCCGGCCCACGAGACGAGTGGCTCGCATGGCAGGACAGGGCACGGCATGGCACACAGCATGGCATTTGCTGCAACAACACAGCCTTTTAGGATTCTCTCCTGCAGCAGGATGGAGTCCAAGGTTCTTCTTTCCAGAGTCTCAGAGTCCCAATCAACTCAAGCAACTCGATAAAAGACCGGGCCCCCAGAGCAGGAATCCGATCTGCCTCATCTCGGCTCTCTCCCATCCCATGTTTCCTCCCCCTGTCCCGCCCCGTTTCCAAGTGGGCGCGTGCTGCCCCAAAGTCCCAGCGGTGAGATGCAGCAGCGCCTCTCTTCACCGTGGTGACGCTCCCGAAACCTTGCTCAAGCTGCATTGTTGTCCGCATCTCTCCATTGGCATTGGCCCGCCTCCTTTCTTCTTTTCCTGCGAGATGTCTCGCATCAGCTTTTCCCTCTGTTTGTTGAGTCATTGTTCCGCGATTCCAGTTCTGGGCGATTGTTCCCTCGTCATGGAAGCATCAATGGAAGGAAATAAACATACAGACAGAGGCCCCATAACATCTGGCCCATGCTCCTCTTCCCCCCCAGACTCCCGCCGAAAATCTTCGTAACCGACCCCGTCGAAATCCAGTTTGATCTCCGCAGCTTTCCCTCTGTTGCTCATCCTCGCCCAGCAAAACCCGGCACGGCTGAGGCCGCACGGCGCTAATAAGCTTCTGGGTCGGAATATTTGATAGAACGGACGGGTACCAATCGCCGTGGCTGCCAGCCATTAGAATTCTGCCCGAGCTTTTTTTTCAGGCGACGTCATCACCATCGGCACAACCTGCCACCAACAATGGTTGCCTGGGAGCCTGCATCGACAAGCGTTGCACCAGGCTAGGCCAAGAGGCTATTCCGCAATCCGCTGGGCGAGATTCTTATCCCTGTCCGCACAATCGGCGATGTAGTATTTCAGCCATCCAGATTTAATCCTCGGTCATGTTGGTTTTGTTGGGTCCTGTGAGCACGTAACCTTCCTGTCGCATCTATCCCACGATGTCACCCTAGCCAGGCTGTAAACCATGGAAAAAGCCAGCCACTTCATATTCCCAGAGTGTGACGATTTCAGCCTCTCGCAACAAGATTGATTCCATCCTTCAGTGCTCATTTCATCTGCGCACCCCGATGCAGCTTCGTCTCAATCGTTCTTAGGCTACCGTTCATCAACAATCACCTTCCCATTGCACGAAAACCTTTGGGTGGCACAGCTGCCTTCTTGTGATGTGCATCTCCTAGCCACCATGTGCTTTCTGTAGTTGTTCAGATGATAAGAGACGCACGCTACGGCATAGCTGTCTTTTCAAGGATCAAGACGCCAGCCCACCAAACCTGTGAGGAGAACAACACATGATATGCGAAACTGAATAAAGTCGGATGACATTCCTCCGTGCCAACGTGTGAGCAACGATGAGCTTTTAAAATCTCCAGTGCCGTCTTCTAGCCCTTCCGCATATCGTGGGATACCGTCTAGTGTTTGATAGTCACGAGTCAGGTGAACCAAGTCGGCATGAGCCTCATCACCGTCACAATTGGACCGGACACAAAATCAAATAGGACATACGCTCAATAGCTGCCGAAGAAACCCCTCCCTAATCCACTCTCCAGACGCTCCGTCTGCTCCTGAACGCCTCTACAAAGTGGCAACAAGCCCAAAGACCCAGTAAGATTCGTGAGTGAGCGCCCCAAGGCGATTAAACCTCTGTAGAACCAGAAACTCCATCCTGCCCCCATAGAAATCATCTGTGCCGGTCGTCAGCCTACGCATCGCGGCAAGAGGACGAAAGTGCAGAGCGCTTACGGTGTTGAACACGCCTTCGTCAAGCCGTGAAGAATCGCATTCCTCATCACGCAGCCTCACGCCGCAACCATTCTCACTTTGCTGCACGTCCCGCCCTCGCAGATAACCGGCCGCTCGCCCTTCAAAGTCCCCATCTCCGCATACTCATCCCCCTCCTCCTCCTCGTCCCTGCGACTGACGGTGTTGTTCCGCGTGCTCTTCGCCCTCCGCCGGCGAACATACGCAGTCGTCGCGAGCGCGATGACCACGACGCCGACCCCGATGCCGATGCCAGCCTGGGCTCCTGTGCTGAGCCCGGCGGACACCTCCGCCGTGTCCATGATGCGACGGCAAGCAACCACGGCGGCAGTGCGCGCGACGAACGATTTCTCTTTTCGCTCTCTCTCTATCTCCCTTCACTCCAAGTCGCGATTGAAGCAGAGAGTAGCAGATGTGGCTCGTTTTCGCTACCTCGTGTCTGTGGTGGAGTTGATTGTGGGGTTTAAAAAAGGGAATGGGAACTGCGCGAAAAGAGATACGGTTAAAGTGCGTCGTACTTGTCGCCGTATAGAGTTTCCACGAGTGTATCAAGAAATGTGTACGGATTGAGGGAAACTCTGCTGGCGAAGGACGGCGCATCCCTGCTCGAAACAAACCATCTTTCCCGTAGACTCTGGCCATTTGTCGTTGGGGGAACAATGGTTTCCCCGCGTTGGCTGGAAGCACCTTCCTGTTCGGGTGGTCATGGATTGCTTGGCTTTCAAGAGGGGTTAAACTCACCGAGGATTTAAGCTACCATGAGCCGCATCGCGATATGGACTTTACGAGTCAGCGTAAGTTCGCATTGCGAATTGCGAAAAGATAAAGTGCCAAGCTGCTTCAGATATCGCGAGGGCCTTCGTATTGCGAAGAAATAAAAGATGAATCACTATCGTTTCCTAAGATGTCGCTTGAACAAAGTGCCACCGTTTCAAAGGCAGCATCTGTGATTTTCCAGGAGTGAAAGACAAATCTTTTTTTCCCCTCCTCCATGATGTTGAGTACAAGTCTAATGACCTTGAGATCCTGGGCGAAATTGAAAATACTAGATTCCTCGGCGTCTAAATTCCACTTTGGTAGTGCCGAGAGAGTTAGGCTTTCCCTCGACATGTCCAGTTCCTAATCGAAAACAATCTGGTCAAAGTGCACCGTACTTATGTCGGACATTTCTTCCTGTTACATTTTGGGGTCACTAGCTATTTGTCCTTGATTTCCTATTGTTCATCAATGCTATGTGAGACCTAACGCAGTGAAGCCGGGCAGGGCTTATCCTCAAGCGGCCAACGAGGTCTCAATGCAGGATCACCCATCTAGGGACCTTCACCTGTTTCAGTCTTTGTCATTCACCAATAAGAAATAGTTGCAAGGCTGTCAGATCCTGGATTGCGACAATGATCCATCCAGTCTTGCTAGTTGGTCTGGTGGGATTGGCTCAATTGACGAAATGTGGAGGCAATCCATGCAGCCGCTAGGCATCAGTCCAACAACCAACAGATCACCGCACTCGCAGTACAGCGGTGGATTCTAAAGGATTCCCGCGCCGCAACTGCTTCTCAGGAGACTTTCCTTTTCATTCATCCAATTGAAAGCCTTCACAATATTGCCTACATCGGAGGCTTTCGACTGTCCAGTTTTGCTCTACCCTCCAGCAACATGTGGCGTCTCACTGCAGTCGTCGTGTTAGCCATCAGAGCGGTGCAAGCCCAAGACACCGGCAACGTTACCGCCGAATGCCCAGATGTGCCGGGCTTCTTCTACCAGGACAGCTGTAAACTGCTCTGCCGGGAAACTGAATGGACGGATGTAGTTGTCTTTTATCTCGGCAACTACGTCGCCCACGCCGCCACCATCACTACGCGCCCAGGACAGAGCACTCTGATCACTGTGGTAACAATGATAGGCGCCGTTCTGCTTCCCGGCACCGGCATCTGGAACGGTATGAAGGCTATACTCAGTCTGGCTAGATTCGCTCCTACCGACTTGCAGACAGCAGCTCGTGCCGGCGCATTGTATGCAGTGGTCAAGGACAATCACCGCCGCCAGTGTCAGACGTCTATATCAGATGGAGCCGAGGGCATCCAAATGGCTGCGATGCCGGCTACAGTGACATCTCAAAGCGCCCAACAGGAACAAAACATAGAGAAGCAACTTTTAGAAGATTCATCAGTACATGAAGATTCAAGGTCGAATGGCACGGCAACTTGTAAGTTATTTTCTACTTACATGGTTCCAGAGCTAATTCAACAAAAGGGACGACAACTCTATTGAACTCCAATATTCACGGACTATGCAAGCTGCCCGAAGGATACCACCTAATGCAAGTCCCACAGAATGCGACTTTTGTGGGAGAAGACGACTTGCCCGTGGACCACCGACCATGGTACCACTATCGACGTTTAGCAAATATCATCCTGCCTTGGACACAGCCTCAACCCGATAGGCCCACCGCCGCGTTATCCTGCAGTTACAACATAGTCAGAGTACTTGCATCCATCATTCAGTTAATCTTTGCAGTCTCAACACTGTACCGCACACGCGGTGACCAAATCCAGCGTTACGGTTATGCCGCATTCGGCCTGACTGTGTTACCCTACGCATGGATGTCCCTCATCAATCTCGTTGGCAACGCCATGTGCCCACAGTACGATAAGATCTATGTTGCCAGCTCCCGAGCCTTGCGCGAGTTGGAGCGAACTCGAAGAGACGGGTCTCAGAACTCGGAGATGTCAGAGCAAGATCAGTGGCATGTAGTTGGCGCCGTGGGCCGCCTGGAAGATCATTGGGATGAGCAACTATGCAAAGACTACGAAAGCTGTCGCGAGCAGGAAGGCGCCGAACAGACGACACTTATGGCACGCAAGCGGTCGGCTCTTGATGCGGTCTTGACAACTTGGAGTCGAAAGTCACCTAGTCGCATGATTGTGGGGCCTATCATCGACATACTCTGGACGGAAGACTTCCGCCGGACCCTACGTTGGTATAGAGACGAATTTATGCTGCTCGCCAGGGAGGTGCGCGAGGACCCTAAGTCTGGGATACTCTCTTTCTTCCGGAGATGGAAGGAGCAGTTGCTGGCGCCTTTGATCGTGTTCATCGTTCCCTTGGCTCTGGTAGGCGGCCTCTCCGGTTTCCAGCCCGGGCAGAGCGAACCATTTCAGAGGGTGTGGGTTATGATGTGGCTGGTTCTTGGCTTGGGAGTTGGATTTGTCCTCGGCCAAGCCCTGAGACGATTTGGCAACCAGTCAACTAATGTATACCAACAGCCCACTGGGTACTATGTTGGCCCATATGGTTTTCTAAGCTTTTGGGAAGCCATTATGGGCGCCATGGCTTATGGACCTGTTGCCATTGGAGGGTATGTAGTAGTCACCCGGATGCTTCTTGAGTCTGGAAGCTGTGTCGAGGTCAAATCTTAGAGCACGTAGGGGCTTTTGCATAGAGAATTAAGTCAATAACGAGTGCGTGGACAGTATTGATGCTGAACGAAGAGATAGACCACCGTCAGCAGCACGATAATTGATTCGTTGAAGTTACGACAGGGTCGTGCCGTCACTGGCCACACCTTGGTTTCTTGCTCAAGCTCAGTGAGCTCGACGCGTCGCGCTGATAAGAGTGGGTGGCTTCATCATTTTTATTCGCAGGATCATCTTAGTTTTCCCGCTCATGCTTGTTCACATGAAAATCCCAAAGATCCAATCTCAAACATTTTCATGCCATCATCGTCAAAGTGAGCCAGCCGTCGTCAACAGCACCATGTAACCGCCCGGGAATTCACGCCGACCACGCGCCGGGCACGAGTCACGCATGCGCCCTCACCGAAGCATAGCGCTGGACTGACCGAACTATGCGATTCAAGATCGCCTCTGATGACACCCTGGACTTGCGCGACGGTATCTTGACAGACCTCAGGGGCGCCCGAGAGGAAGCCTACCGCGCCGAGCTTGAGACGGAAGCCGCTCGTAAGGTCCTGGAACTGGCGCAATACCGACAGGAGCGCGCGCAGAAGAAGGTCAAACAGCTTAAGGCGCGGTATGATATTGCAGAACGAATGGTGTGGCCAGCGAACGACGAGTACTGGGGTGCTGCGGAGGTGATGCACGATGCCAAACAAAACGCCGGAATGCTGGAGAAGGGACCGCGTCCGGTCATCGACTGGGAGAAGGAGAGCATCTCCGAGTTTGGCGACAGGGCACGCAATGTGTCTGCAGACGTCGGGGAGAGGGCGCTTCCGAGTCTCATTGCGGCCGGTCCAAATCGGAGTCAGAAGAGGGTTAAGAGGCATCACCCCTATCCGACCAAAAAGGACTTACCACCGAGACTTGGGCCGCTCGTGGAATTGAGCGTGGAGAGTCAATCTCAAGACCCAGTGGAAGTAAAAGTTTCCAAGCTGAATGAAGATACCGTCATTGACGTCGGGCACAAAAGCTACCTTGTTAGACAGGATCCGGAAGAGATATGGTCAAGGTTCATGGCAACATCAAATCGCGACGATCGCCGGGCATTCAACGAAGCCCACAAGAATGACTTATTGAATATGTTTGGGTATGGGCCTAGACAGGCAGTCAAACCTTCCGAGTTGATTGACACGAAGTGGGGGATAATGCAGGTCATGTCCAGGGAGGAAGCAGAGCGGAATGGCTGGTTACCAGCGGAGGGCTCAGCTTAGGCCTCGTTAGCCCGGAGGCGTTTCATGACAATGAATCACGATAATCTGAACTAGATCAGTGTTACTCTTTGGAACATGGAGGGACACGAACGATCGTCCAGTCAAAGACGCTGAGCTGATTCTGAAATGGGCGTTCAACTGCAACATAACGGGCGTAACATTGAATCGGGGAATACAAAAATCTACAATCTTTCTCGATCGCTGTCTCAATTTATTGGTGTAGCAAATCAGCACTGCAGAGAGCTGGGTGGTATTTCAGCCACCGCCACGCGTTGGCTACGCCCTCCCTACATGTGAGGAGGCACGACGTTCCACATCACGCCCGCCCCCTTAGAGAATCCAGCTTCGGTCCCCAGTCAAAACTGTGCCCCCTAAAAGTGCTGCACATCTCGTCTTCGCGTTTGGAAAGCCATTTCTCCTTCTCAACCTCAACTAGGGTACGCGCCTTCACATCTCACTAATCCCTTATAAGACTTCATCCGCCAAGATGAACGCTGTAACAATCTCGTCGTATGTCACAGATGCCAACAACCATAGCCTACTGAACACCAAATACCACTCCGCCCTCGAGAACCTCCGTCGCGCGGAAGAGGAGAAATGGACTGCTCAGATCAACTCGGAGAGGAAGCACTCGATTTCCATGGCACACAATTCCCAGCTGGCAGATTTGAGGGCCGAGCGAGACGCAGCTGAAGTGGCCCTCAAACAGATCATTGTCTGCCTGCAGGCAGGCGAGGAACGTCTAGAGAGAGCCCAGTATCGACTGAAAAGGGCCTGGCTAGACAAGCCTGAAATCGATGAGGAAGCCAACAAAGCTCATATTGACCTTTCACGTTCAAGGGTCCGTCTATCTAATGCCGCGTCGATATTTCAATGCGAGGCGGAACAGCATCGTGTGCTACCAGTTGGAGATTGGGGCGGGTGCGTGTGTGAGGACTACCGGACGCTGCCGCCAGAATTCGCAGGCACTTCGAGCCAGACTGAGCAGGTGGAGGCCATGTCAGTGTCGTCCTCACCATCCGAGATGCCCCACCTGACTACTGGAACTCCTTCGTTGGCCAGTGAGCCGTCATCTCAGCCGTTGACTCAGCCGCCAGTCGTTGCCATCAGGCCTTTGCGGTCCAGCAGGACGAGAAGTATCGCAGCTAGGCACCAGCCCTACTTCCGATCAGCGGTCAACATCCTGAAGTGGCAGATGCAACAGCCGGAAGGGAATGGGGGCGAACCAGACGTGGAGAAACTTGAAGCAGCGAGCGTGAGGGAGCGCTTGATCAAGAGCCCAGAGGTTGAGTACTTGGGGGAGACGGTGCCGCAAGATTGCGAGGAGGAGTGTGCGGAGGCCAAGAATACCGAGTAAGGATAAAGGAGGCAACCGAGGTGCAAACGAAGGAAATGGCTGTTGAAGGGTGGCAAATTTGAAACCTCGGTTCAGTCTCAACTCATCAGAATTACCCAGAAGTGAACTGTGCGTTTGTGAAACCTGGCGACATCAACTTTAACAACATATGTACGGAGATTAGAACATGTTTTTGATACGAGGAGTGATTTCATATGAGTCTATAAGAAACTCGTCGCGACGAATGTTAGTCTATCGTTCATAATGCCAAATTTGCTGCTCCGAAATGCCTTGCAGATAATGCCGTGTTGGCAGCGTGTGCTGCTCAGTAAAAGTTCATCTATGAGTGTCACAAAAGGGTTCACCGGAACCAGAACATTATTCTGAGCAAAAACGTAAAGAAAAAAAAGGCGAACGTCTGTGTTTCTTTTTGAGAAAGCGCATTCATCGTGAGCACCTCAAGGATTTGGTGGTTCGGGATCGGGATCGATGGTGACCTATTCATGTATGAATAATGAAGCACCTGAAGCGGGCAACCTACCTTAGCATACTGGCGCCCCCTAAACGCGCTGGACGATCTGGCCCGGAAGTGAACGCGACGCGTCCGCCACTTCCATCTCACAATTCACCAACCTCATCCACACACCCCAAAATCTCACGCGATTGGGTCCAATGTAAGCCAGACAAGCCCGACGTCCAAAGTAATGCTAAGATGGAGTCGCGTGCGACGTCTGTGGTAAACCCGCAAGAATCGCACACTGGGCCGTCAACGAGTTTCTCTGCGACCTCGCAGAAGAGGTTGCATCTTGCATTTGTAAGTCCACGTAAATGTTTATCAGTAGTGGAGAAAAAACCAGCCATTCAAATCATTGACTCAGAAGATATTCAGTTTACTTGCACACAAGCCAACATGTTGTTTACGTCTTTCTCCTGTCCTCAGACCTTCAGCCGCTGTTCCAGCACCTTTTACTGTTGATTATTTCAGACCTGATGCGTTGCGCAACAAACGCAACTTCCCATGATTGCTTTCTCTTTCGACTGCCCATTCATCAAGCTTACGACGCACATCTGCGGCTTTACCGCTAGGGACTTGGCCTGCAGAGAGCATTGAAGCGATCACACCAGCCGCGACTGGGCATGCTAATATGACCTGTGAGCTTGCTAATCTCTCAAAGGCCGGAAAAGGGGGAAAAACACACCGAAAGACGTGCCATTGACCTTTGCCGCCCCGTGTTTGTAGGCAATATTGATTCCACGAACCCAGTAGTTAACGCCTAGGTAAATTATTCAGTTACTGGCGACGAGCCGATATTGGGAAAGCTTACGTTTGCCGTATGACGAACCATCATTACCGTCAACTTCCTTGTACACGTCGCCATTGGCGTCTACGCTGCCAATCAAGATAGTTTCGTCTTGGGCTTCTGGAAGTGGCCATGTTGACTTGTTTGATTTGTCCAGATCGACCTTGATTCTTGTTAAATCTCTTTCTTAGGCGGGACACAAGCCTCTTACGGCACGATTCCCAGCAGCACCAATGATGATGATACCGGCATCAACACATTGCTTGAAAGCATCCTCAATGTTGCCAACTCTCTCGAGTGCCCGACTGCAGTTCAGAATTCCATAGCGGATGGATCTGTGCAGGGTAGCTTCCTTGAAGTGCTTCGCGATAGCAACTAGAGCGCCTTTCCACGCGGTGTTCGACTTCTCGTCATGTGGGTACTGATTCGTTCCTCTCACGGGAATGATTTTGATGTTCTTCGATCTCGCTACACCAAAGCTTGCGCCAGCGAGGATGTTGATCACTTGCTCACCATGAGAGCCCTTCTTAATCTCTGGCTTGTACTGGTCGTATTTAAGAAACTCGATTCGAGATTCTGCCTCCAGAAACTGGAAATATGAGCATACGAGGTAACGAGAGTGCATTGATCATTTGTTTACATACATCTTCCGTTGAATAATCCAGCTCAAGTACGTAAACGAGAACCTTCTCGGTTTGATTAGCAGGTGCCCAGAAAGTCTTCTCGCTCTTGCCAAAATCTTTAGGTGTATTGGAAATCTCAGCAAGAACTGGGCTGAAAGCAGCAGCCGCTTGGTACTCCACGCCGTCAGGAGACAAACGAGTGGATGGAGTGGCCATCGTTTTTAAGATCAGCTTCGGAGAATGAGGCGATGATAGCAAGAGATACAGAACACAGGAAATATGTCGCTCAGGGGACTTATAGCAATGATGAACATGTAACCACCGTCAAGCGGTCAACGCCAGACCCGGTGCCTCGACCTACATGCCGAGTAGCCGATACATCCAATTTGGGCATGCAATTCGGGAAACCTTTTGAGATCGGTTCTTTATGACCACACCGAGGCCTGGCTGCCAACTTCCTTAAGCTGTTCTCAGGCTTGTCTCCTAAGCTTGAACAACTGTAGTGATTCAGCCAAGAATAGTTTCTTGGCATACTTCAGCATTCAGAAGCTTTATCTGATTGGATATCAATAATTTTGGTAATCAGAGACAAGAAATGTGTCATAGATTTGCTGTAGTTCTGCCGCAGTCGGCCACAGCGATACGCGTACGACCTATCCTTGTGAATTCACTCGTAAGTTGGTGTGTGATGAGAAGCCTTCGGATCCCAATACAGACTGGTCGGCACATTTAAGGAAGATTGTGGCAAGCTGAAAAACAAAGAGGTCTGCTGGGTGCGGGGTATGCATGTCTTGGATTGTGAACGGCGGTGCCCATACATAAGCAATAAACCGCCATTCAGTATGTCACCCGCGTAGGTACCGAGCTTAAAATCACTCACGATGGTGCTTTTGGTCTGGGCTGAGCTGAGGGCATGCATTAAGTTCTAGATTCTGTCGATCATTGTGTAGCCCTAGGAAATTGTGGCACAGTTCGGGACGATGAGCTCTATCAAACACGTAGCATGTCTTGAGTCCTGGGATATTAATGGCTGCCAAGCATGCATCGCATTGGAGCTTGACGAAATATGGCAAGCTGAAAGCTGATGAGAGGTATCTAATGGGTAACGTGTCTTCAGTCTAGATATTGCTGTAAATCATCATAGGGTCGAACGAATGGCCCGAAAGCCAATGACAAATAAAACATTAGTGGGATTTCAAAGACCGATCGAGATCAACGCATCATACATCGCACCTAAGAGTCTGTGGCTAGCTGAAAGATGCTCCGAATGCAGCAAAAGATATTGAATATCATGATGTGATTAAACTTTCTCGCAACTGAACTGTTGCACACGCACTTTGTGGCTGGCATGTTCAAAGCTGTTGCAAAAGTGGGATCCACCATTGCTAAGCAGCAATTGCGCCTTATCTTCGCGACAAAAGATGATAGAAACATTGGAGGCTGTGGATATGAGTTTGAGTAGATATCATAATGTAAGGTACTAGACGTTTAGTCAGTTGTTGGGGGACAGGAGTCGATGAACCGTCTTGGTGGGTGAGCACCGAGGTTCGGTCTTCAGCCATCGGGTCTTCAAGTAGATCAGCACTTAAGCAGTAAATAAATATCACGCGATATCAAGGTCTTTTCGTGCTTTTGTTATGTCATCACCCAACACTTATTCAACTTCATTTGCTTCACTACTGGCAATATGGGTGCCGCCATCTCTAAATTCATCGAAAATGTTGAGAACCAGGACGAGAA